CTACTAATGTACTAACTGGCGCTGGCGCAGCTATGGCTGCCTTCCTTCCAGCCGGCGCCCCTCTCCTCTTCCTCATACGTAGCGCTGCTCTCAGCTTAGCGCAGCTCACACACATGTGGTGCACAAGTGCCACGGCACTTCCACACTCTCATGCGAGATGAGCATCCTCCAAATGGGAGGCTGGCCAGTCCGTTATAGTACTGGACTGGCCTGGCGTGCCCTGCATTCAGCCTCAAGTGTCTGGGACTCCTGCCCAGTACCCGTTGTTGCAAAGTGTGTGTCCCAGTATCTTTTCCCATGGTCTGCTGCTGCTTTGGGACATTGGGCGTGTCTTTTGGACTCCTGGTCTGAATCAGGACTGACTCGTGGGATTATGACTGAACTGGGACTGTGGCCTTTGACTCATTGCCGAACAGACATGACTTTCCTTCGAGGAGACATGACCCTAACTCAGTTCTAGAAAACTGTGTCCAATACCTGTTTGTGCAGGACCTGTTTGTGACTGTTCAAATCGACTTTTCATTTCATTATGGATGTGACATTTGCCTCAGGAACTTTGTCTTTTGGGTTGCAGCTCGTGAATGTAAGTTCTGGCCGACATGGCCCCTCGCTGTTGGGGCATTCATCTGGGGTCTAATTCGTAAAGGCCCTTTTAAAAAGACGTGAGCGGCCGTTTAAAAAAGGAAAAAGAAAAAAGGAAAAAGAAAGAGCGGTTGGTACCAAAATATGCAACGCACCGTTAACCAACCGAGTCCTCCTCCTTGCGATAGGAGGTGATTTTTTTTTTTTTTGGTCGATGATCTATCCGCAGGGGATCACCTACGGAAACCTTGTTACGACTTCTCTACATGATATAAAGGTTCGATGAGGAACCTCTCACAGCACCTCCAGCGACAAACCGCCGAGACCAGCGGGATCCAGAGACAGCACCGGCCCCCATTCAATCGGGGTACGAGTGGCGGGCGGTGTGTACGAAACGCAGGAATGTAATCATCGCGAGCTGACGACTCACATGTACTGGGCTTTCCTTCCTTTCGACCGTCCGTCTAGACAATCCTTACCAACGATGCCAAATGCATCATCGTCATCCTCGTTGTCGTTGCCATCGCCGTCGTCTTATCGATAGTCGTCGTCATCATAATCATCATCAGATTCGTGATCAGCCCTTATCATCATCATCATCATCATCATCATCATCATCATCATCGTCATCATCATTTCGCAATATTGTTGTCATCATCATCATCATTTAGCGATATTGTTGTCATCATCATCATCATTTAGCGATATTGTCATCATCATCATCATCATCATCATCATCATCAAGCGAGATTGTTATCATCATCATCATCATCATCACCACCAATTAGCGAGATTGTTATAATCATCGTCATCATCATCCTCATCATCCTCATCATCCTCATCATCCTATCATCCTCATCATCCTCATCATCAAGCGAGATTGTTATCATCATGATCATCGTCGTCATCATCATCATCATCATCATTATCATCATCGTCATCGTCATCGTCATCGTCATGAATTAGCGAGATTGTTATGATCAGTCATGACCATCTCTATTGTGATCGTCACAATCATCATTTTCATCACCGTTGTCTCAAGCGTATCATCATTATCATGATAGTAAACTCCATCATGATGAAGAAAAGAGGACAGGGCATCTGAGTGAGCATCATTTTACTCGTTACCGGTAACGAATATCGACTATATTAGCAGGATTTCATGATCTGTAATGACCCGCCAAAAACATAGACTGAGAACACTGCTGATTTCTGGGATTTGCCGTTGGAATGAATGCCTTGCTGAGATTCCTGCATTCTGCTGTGATTTCCATGTTTGTGTGTGTGCGTGTCTGCTGGTTTGCATGCCTGTCTGAGTGCTTGTCGGCTGAGTGTGTGTGTGACCCGCAAGGGTACTTGTTGGTTGAAAGGCCCCGCAGGGCCGGTACTTACCTGTGGCCGTGACTTTGAGGGTTGCATGGGGGAAAACACTCGAGTAGCGGGGGTAGGCCCGCGACACTGAGAGCAGAGGGGAAAAACACTCAAGTAGCAGGTAGGCCGGTACCACTGAAGTAGTGGTAGAAGCGTCGGGTATTAGAGGCCGAGCAGAAGAAGACAAAAAGTTGGCATTTATAGAGGCCCAGTAGCGGTAGGCTAGAGGTAGGCCGGTACCAGTCCAAGTAGCCCGGGTTTAGGGCCTGTCCGGAGGATAGCAGAGCCTGCAATGATGTTTCCCTCCGAAAGGGAGGAGGTACCGGTTGCTGGGAGGCCGCTCGGCCTAGGAAGTCACCGCCCAAGAGGCCAGTAGGCCGCTATATCTTCCGGAGGAGCAAGTAGCTCCTCTTCATTTGCGGTATGCAAGGATTGGCAACATGCTGCTGGAGCACAGCGCTGGACTAATACAGCGTTGCTTGGAGGTGAAGGGAGCTGGCGCTCAGCCTGGCTATGCCGAGCAGCCCAACCTGAGGAGGAGGAAGAAGGGGGCGAAGGAGGAGAGTGGCGAGGCACCTACCTGGCTATGGTGGACACCATCTTCATCACCTTGTTGGGCACTGCATCTGGAAGGCCCCAGTTGGGGTAGTGCCGCACCAAGGAAGCTCGAGGCAGAGTCAGGCATGGCAGATCAGTCAGCAGCGGCATAGCTGCTTTGGGTTGTCCTTTGGACAGGAGTGCAGCATCATAGCTGCTTCGGGTTGTCCTTTGGACAGGAGGGCAGGGTCCTCAGTAGTCCGCCGTAGCCTAGGCATGCGAGAGGAGGAAGAAGGAGGGAATCCATAGCTATGGTGAACTTGTTGCTGTTGTTGTTGTTGAGTCAGCAGTAAGAGGGAACTTCGGATATTGATTTTGGTTCATCCACTCATTGTTATTGTTATTATTGGGAGAAGAATAAGATTGGCGAAGTGAAGGAGGACGAGGAAGGTGGAGAGAGAAGAGGGAATTGTCATTGGTCTTGCTGGTGTACATCATCTTCATCTTTTTCTTCTTCTTTCTCTCTCCTCTGGTCTCTATCTCTTTGCAAGTGCTTTCATTTCTTTCGCAATTGGGTGGCATTGTCTTTCATTGTGAATTTGCACTTTAAGAATGACCAGGATCGTAACAATTGGTATCGGAGCGGACTTACTTGCTGGCGAGAGGTGTTAGTCACCCTAAACCTAATTCCGAATTAGGTCAGGGCTAACCTAATCTCGGATTAGGGTTGGGAAGTTAGGGTTAAGAGGGGCAGTGAGGTATGTGGATACTGCCCCCACCTGGTTAGGTCATGTAGGGTCGACATCAGACCTGACCAGGTTGCTTGAGTGATTGGATGGGGTGGCGAGACACAAAGGAGGCTGATTGGAGTAAGCGAGAGGGAGTAGAGAGTGAGAGGTACTCGCACCTGGAATCTGCACTTCAAGAAGACATTGAGTGACTTTTGGGCTTCCCCTCAAGAGGGAGACTTGATCGGCGGCTGCCATATCTGCATCGAAGAGCTGCAAGTTGCTACTTTGGTCTTCAGACATCGACGGGGGATCCGAAGTTGTAACAGGGGTGTAGGAAGGCCCTCTTAGTCATGCTAGGACACTTCCTGTAGTGGTAGCTAGGGGTCCGGAGGACCTATGAGAGAGGGGGGTGAGTCATTATCCATCTTTGGAGGTCGGGCCTCACAGGTAAGTGTTGTGTGACGTGGTTATGCCCGTGGGAGGTTGCTTGGTGCTTCATGGCCTGTTGGGGTGTGCTGGGCTCTCTTCCTCTTCTCTGCGGTCTTGGTTGTGTGTATGAGCATGTGGATTGCTTTCTCACCTGATGGATGGATGGATGATGTATCTGTTCTCAATGACATATCTTTCTACGGTGCAATGTCTTTTCATTTCTGAACGGCTGTAGGGGTGAGTTCTTGCTGAAAGTTGTCTTTTCCTTTTCAGTACGGTAGAGGCAGTTTGGGACTGACTTGGTACACCTATCTCGTTGGTCCTGGTCCACGACCTACTTGGGACCTTCGGGACTCAATGGGACCAGGCCCAACGGGATAGGACCTTTAGGGCCCAAATCTGTTGCCGCCAATGCATCTCTTTGTTGTGCTGAACTTGGGGGACATACGGCTAGCAAGGGCATTCCTTTCAAGGGGATCTTGATTGGTCTTACTGCATGTTATCACATATTGCCCCGCGGCTGGCTCGGCGACCGTCTGCACCCCTCGAAACCTCTATTGCTGCAGTTAGTCTTCTTCGGCTGATTTATTGTGGTACATGTACCTTGTCAGGTTAGACAAGAGGGGATCTCCAACTAATCTGATCGGGCCCGTTCGATAAGTCAGTCCTCTCTTTCGTTTTTTTTTTCTTTTCTCTTTATTCTGCTGCGTGAATGTCATTCTCTAAGTCCAAATGAATTGCCGCTCCGGCTAGGAGTTCTACCTTCTACTCTGTGTGATTTACTGTTTGTTTCTTTTATCTGAACTATCTATGTCCGGTATTGAGACGCGCGCGCAGAAAGTGGAAAGAGAGAGAAGGTGTTCTTTTTGAGAGTGTGAGGAAGGGTAAGAGGAGTGTTCGTCCAAAAGTGAGCAAAGTGCGGACCCCTCTTGAGTGATCTACTGACACCCTATCCTCCGGCATGGCAGACATCACGTCCGAGCAATGGAAGGCCATGCTGGACGCAGCGGCCGATAACGAGAGGCCTTTCTTTTAGAAACTTTATGAGGACTCTATACACAGAGAAAGGGAGGCAGAGGCAGCAGCCAGAGCCATAAGCATTGCTGAACAGGTGGCCCTCCTTGCAGTTCCGGAATTGAATGATGACCGGTTCCAAGAGAAGATAGCTGCTGCCGTAGCAGCCTTGGTTCAACTGCGGACCTTTGAAGACCTTGAGTCCCGTGTGACAGCCTTGGAGCAGCGGAACCAAGAGCTGCAGGCTGAGATAGTCAGCCTCAAACAGTCCCAACTGTTTGCCCCCCATCCTCCTATCCCTCGACCTGTTGCAGTCCCAGTCTCTCACCCTAACACAGTCCTCATGACGAGAGCAAGTGGAACTGTGACGAGCGCAGGAACCGGTGCCAGCTCCTCAAGCGGCAGCGCCGACAGTTCTGCACTGGTCATAGTCCCAAATGCAGGAACATCAGCCTAAAACGCCACAGTTCTTACTGGCGCACAGTACATTGGTCCCGTAGTGGACAAGCGGGCGGCCACTCTGCCGTCCAAATATGACGGGAAAGGGGATATCACCTCTTGGATTAGCTCCATGCGCTCATACTTCGAGGTACTGCGAACACCACAGGAAGACCGAAGCATGATTATGGGCACTAATAGTGAGCTCGTCGTACGGAGTTTCATAGAACTCCAAGCTGTTACAGCAGGTTATGAGAGGATTGACTTGATCGAGTGGCTGAAAGTGACTCCTGTACGTACTCTTGAGGACCTCCTCATCACACAGTATCAAGATAAGCACGCTGCGCTCAAGGCAGGACTGAAGCTTGAGGCCCTCAAGGGCCAAATGTGGAGGACTTCCATGCAGGCTTTGGAGCAGCACTTGACTGGTCTGTTCACCATTCCAATCCTGGGATTGACTGACGTGTCTTGCATGGATGTAGTCATGGGAGTGGCCCCTAAAGAATACGTCTCCCAGCTAGGACTCAAAGACCATACCACTTGGCGAGAGCTACTGATGGATCTAGTCAACCTAGAAGCCAAGGAACTCACCAGGCGTGTAAAGGCACCCGCTGCAGGTAGAACCTCGCAACGCAAGCGGTACGAAAGCAGCAACCAGCTTGCCCTACATGAACATTGGGGGGCTGAGGACCAGTCTTATGCGGATGATCTGTGTCTGGATGACGATCTAGAGCCGGACTCCGACGTGGGTTGTTCTACATCAGCCCTTGAGTCTGACGTGAATACTGAAGAAAAATGTAATGCTTTTAAAAAGACTGCTTCAAACAAGGGGCCTAACCGTAGTTCGGGTAAGGAAACTATAGCACAACTCCCCAAGAATGCAAAGATCCTTGAGAAACCGGAGGATGCTTCTACCAAGCCTTGGGAAGCCCTCCGCATCAGTCAAAAGGAATGGGAAAGAAGATCCAAACTGCGCGTGTGCTTGCATTGTCAAAAGCCTGGGCATGCTGTGCATGATTGTTATCGTCTGCAAGGAAACAGGCAAAGGGCGTAGAAGAGTCATCAACACTCTCTACAACAAGGGAAGCTGAACAGTCAGTTGCAGGCCCCTCCAAGGAGCCTGAATCTGATCTATAGCTTGCTCTTGAAGCCCGAACTGATGCTGAATCCAAGGCTGGTGCAGTCCATGTACTTTACACTAAGCCTTGGGAGAACACTAAGGAAGTTGACTTCTACTCTCACGTGGAACATTGGCTGCAGCTCAAGCAGCAACGCCGTGTTCAAGGGAGTGTGGAGCTGACCTTCTTTAAGTTACTCATTAACCGCCGATACATCCGTGTGCTGATTGATTGTGGTTTAACGACTAACTTTTTTTCTCCTAACGGGATTCGTAAGGCGGGCCTGGGAATGAAGCAAGTGGAATTGCAGAACCCTTGTCAGACCCAGGTGGGCAACCAAGAGGTGGTCACCTCAACACATGCTGTCAAAGGTGTGCGCGTCACTTTTGACAAGGATCGCACTGTCACACATGAGCTGAACTTTTATGTCATGGACAAGTGTCCTTTCGACGCGGTCATTGGCTTGGGCTGGTTAAAGGCTTATTGCCTAAGGACCACGTGGGCGGATAATCAGTTCGTGGTGCGTGATGCCAAGGGGAACGAGCGTACCGTTCTATTGGACGAGACGCGTGAGTCCCTTGTGACTTCTTTAAGTGCAAAACAAATTTTGCAAATCAGTGCGCAGGCGCAAGGAAGATGAGCATGTACATGTCGCTCTTGTAAAGCCTCTCCATGTACTTATGTTCCATCTACTTCTACTGTAAAAAATCAGTCTACTTCTGATCCAAATACTTCGAGTTCAGTTGTAATTGCTGTAAAAATCTGATTTTCTCTTTCCTGATGAGGATGATCCTCCACCGAAAGTCCCAACAAACATTCGTCGTCTATTGAATCGATTTTCTGAAGTTCTGGCCGAACCTCGTGGAGTTCCCGAGCATCTGGTCAAGCACAAAATCGAGATAGTTGAGGAGACAAATTGACGATATGATCGATCGTGGATGGATTAGGCCTAGTGAGTCTGAGTTTGGTGCACCTGTCTTGTTTGTGCCGAAGAAAGGAGGCAAACTCCGGATGTGTATTGACTATCGTGGCCTAAATCGGATCACCGGAAATAATGCTTATCCTTTGCCTCGCATAGATGATCTGCTAGATGCGGCAGGTGGATGCAAAGTCTTCTCCAAGATTGACCTCAAATCTGGCTACTACCACATTGAAGTTGATACGATCGACCAACACAAAACTGCATTCAAGACATGCGATGGGCTGTACGAGTTCATCGTTATGCCCTTCGGTCTTACGAATGCACCAGCCACATTTCAGTGCCTCATGGACAAAGTTATCCGCCATCAACTTAACAGGTTTGTTGTTGTTTACCTCGATGACAACCTGATTTTCGGCAAGTCCATAGAAGAGCACGTCAAACACCTTGAGGAGGTCTTGCAGGTCCTCAAGGAGGCACAACTGCACCTCAACTTAGAGAAATCTGAGTTTGGAAGGGACAACGTCATCTATCTTGGGCACCGGTTGTCTGCAAACGACCTTGAGCCGGAGGCAACCAAGGTTGAAGTCATCCGAAAGTGGCCTCAACCAGCAAACGTACGCGAACTGCGTTCTTTTCTTGGTTTGGCCTCATATTATCGGAAGTTTGTGCCCAAATTTTCTGTCATTGCTCACCCACTCTAGAGACTAACAATTAAGAATGTTGCCTATGCGTGGTGTGAGAAATGTGAGACTGCGTTCCAAGCCTTGAAAGAGGCATTGGTGAGTCATCCTGTGCTCTGCATTGCGGGTCCCAACCTCACGTTCGTAGTCACTACGGACGCGAGCCAGTATGGGATTGGTGCAGTGCTGCAACAAGATGATGGTGATGGTCTGCGTCCGCTCGAATATTACAGCAAACGCATGCCCAACCACAAGGTAGTTACCTCCACATATATGCGTGAGCTCTACGCCTTGCACGAGGCGCTCACACATTGGAAGCACTACCTCTTGGGTTGTCACTTCAAGGTCTACTCAGATCATCAGACCTTGCAGTGGATTAAGATACAAACTGATCTCTCTCCGACATTGACCCGCTGGCTGCATGACATTGATGTTTACAACTTTGAACTGAAGCATAAGAAAGACAGTTATAATCGTGTTGCTGATGCTTTGTCTCGTCACCCTGAGTTTTTGACTTGCCTTGTGGACTCTTATTACCTCTGAAGGAAACTGAAGGAGGATTTGGTCGAACACACTGCCAAGGATCCGGACCTTAGTCCCATCCATGAGCAGCTCAAGGCTGACCCGAGTAGTCAGCCTAATTTTCACGAGTGGGAGGGTCTTGTATTCCGCCGGTATGGGAAGTTTGATCGTTTGTGTGTACCCATCCATGCGCCTCTCCGGACTCATTTCTTGGACTTGGCACATGGTCGGAGTGGACATTTCGACTTTGAGAAGACTTATGGAAGTCTTCTGCAGCAGTTTGATTGGCCGGGAATGAAAGGATCTGCTCAGAAATTTATTGCTGAATGTCAAGTTTGTCAAAGAACCAAGGTCCATAGGCATAAGCCGTATGGCCTGCTGAAACCCCTCCCAATTCCTGATGGGCCCGGTGAGTCGGTCTCTATCAATTTCACGGACATGGGGAAGGTGAGTGAGGGAGGACATTCACAAGTCATGGTCATTGTGGATCGCTTTTCCAAATTTATGAACTTGATTCCTCTACCTCCTCATGCACCAACTGAGCTTGTGATCGAAGAATTTCACCAGCAGTACATTCTGCAGTATGGACCCCCGAAAACTTTTGTGAGTGATCGGGACACCAGGTTCATTAGTGTTGATTGGAAGGACTCCACCTCACAGATCTATGACATTAAACTCAACAAGACTTCTGGTCGACACCCCGAAGCCAATGGATTGGCCGAGGAAATCAACCAGACTGTCATTCAACTGCTTCGCGCGCTAATTGTTCCGGATCAGAACACGTGGGACAAGGAGTTACACAAAGTGAAAGGGTTGTACAACAACTCCATTCACTCTGCAACTGGCGTAACACCGAATCAGTTGCAATATGGTTGGCAACTGCGCAATCCTCTCTCCTATTTGTTCCCCAAACGGTCCCCTGGTCTGATGCCCGGCATGCCTGGCTACAATGCCAAGTACGCACGCCTGCTCAAAGCTGCTATCACAGCAATGAACAAGCATTAGCATGCCATGATCAAACATGCTAACAAGTCGCGCAAAGAAGAATTTCAAAGTAGGGAGTTATGTCTGGGTCAAAATGTTTGAGTTTTCTAACGAAGAGGGTGTATCACGGAAACTCCTTCCATTGTACTATGGCCCTTGGCAGGTTCTTAAGGTGATTGGGGATGAATTTGGTCCTTCGTATGTGATTGACGTGCCTCCTCATCTGCGCACATATCCGGTCTTTCACGCGTCCAAACTGTTTCCACACATCCATGATGAAACTTTCCCTTTCGAGATCCTATGATACCTCGTCCTATCGACGACGGCCATGAGATAGACAGAATCGTTGCCCATGAAGGAAGAGGGAGGAACAGACAGTACAAGGTTCACTTCCTCTATCACCCGTTGAACGAGTTTTTCTGGATCGACCGGAAAGAGCTGCTAAAGAATGCTCCATGAGTGGTTAACGCCTATGAACGACAGATCACTGACGGGCAGACTGCTAAGTTTTCTGCAAAACTCACACCTGCCGACTCTGAATGAGTTACTTGCTCGAAGGGACCTCGCTCGTGAGAGGGGGGTAGTGTAATGACCTGCCGAAAACACAGACTGAGAACACTGCTGATTTCTGGGATTTGCCGCTGGAATGAATGCCTTGCTGAGATTCCCGCATTCCGCTGTGATTTCCATGTCTGTGTGTGTGCGTGCCTGCTGGTTTGCATGCCTGTCTGAGTGTCGGTTGAGCGTGTGTGTGACCCGCAAGGGTACTTGTTGGTTGAAAGGCCCCGCAGGGCCGGTACTTACCTGTGGCCGTGACGTTGAGGGTTGCAGGGGGGAAAACACTCGAGTAGCGGGGGTAGGCCCGCGATACTTAGAGCAGAGGGGAAAAACACTCAAGTAGTAGGTAGGCCGGTACCACTGAAGTAGTGGTAGAAGCGTCGGGTACTGGAGGCCGAGCAGAAGAAGACAAAAAGTTGGCATTTTTAGAGGCCCAGTAGCGGTAGGCTAGAGGTAGGCCGGTACCAGTCCAAGTAGCCCGGGTCTAGGGCCTGTCCGGAGGATAGCAGAGCCTGCAATGATGTTCCCTCCGAAAGGGAGGAGGTACCAGTTGCTGGGAGGCCGCTCGACCTAGGAAGTCACCGCCCAAGAGGCCAGTTGGCCGCTATATCTTCCAGAGGAGCAAGTAGCGTGTACGCAAGTGAGAATCACTCGGTATGCAAAGAAGGTCCTTCCCCCGCGTGTTGACAAGCAAGTACCCCTCTTGGATCCGGTAGTGAGAAGGCGCTGGATTATTGGAGGAGCAATTCACGTACTTGTCGCCAAACTCGTGGTCGGCTTGGTAGCCGCGGATGAAGCTGTTCCGCAGGTCATCGTCAATATCAAAAGTTGAGTAGACTGCGGTACAATGGTCCGGACGCCGCGAAAGAGCATCCGCAAAGCGGTTTGACTTGCCTCGAATGTGGTCTGGAAAAAAGTCAAAATTGGTCGATGAAGTCCATCCAACGGGCAATGGTGCTATTGACTGTGTCTTGGGTCTTGTAGAAGACCAATGGATTGTTATCCGTTACCCATCGGAACTGTCGTCGACCGAGAAGAAAATGTTGCCAGCGCGCGTGTACGAAGGCCAATAATTCCTTCTTCCGTGCGTCGTCAATCGAGTGCACGGTGGGCACTTTCTTGCTAAAGTACTCGATCGGGTGCAAGTCCACATCGTCATGTTGCTCGAGGACGGCACCAATGCCATAGCCGGACGCATCGGTAGTGACACATGTCGGCAAAAGTGGATCGTAGGTGCGCAACACCTCCTCGGATAGCAATGCGGCTTTGAGAGCCAAAAATGAAGTCCGCGCATGGTCGTCAAAGTCGAATGGATGGTCCTCACATTGAAGCTTGGATAAAGGAGCCGCGATCTTCGAGTATCCCTTGATGAAGCGTTGATAGTAGCTGGCTAAGCCAAGGAAGGAACAAACGTTTGTGACGGTCTTCGGCTCCGGCCACTCTTGGATGGCTTGAATCTTGTCCGACAACGAACTGATGCCCTCCGGTGTGACAAAATGGCCCAAGTATTCCAGCTCTTGCCGGACAAATTCGCACTTATCGCGGTTGGCTTTGTACTTGGCGCGGCGGAGCGTCTCCAACACTCGTCGAAGGTTCTCAAGATGATCCTCCAATGTCCGGCTATAAACGAGGATGTCGTCTAAGTAGACTAGTACAAACCGGTCCAGCATCGCACGAACTCGTTGGTCATTGCCACTTGAAAGGTCGCCGGTGCATTGGTGAGGCCAAACGGCATAACGATCCACTCGAAGTGTACGTACCGCGTCTTGAACGCGGATTTGTAGCAATCTTGCGGGCGTATCGAGATTTGATGGTAGCCCGACTTCAAGTCCAACTTTGAGAAAAATTTTGCGCCGCCCAAACGCTCGAGAAGGTCGTCAATTCGCGGAAGAGGTCCCGCATTCTTGACGGTTTGTGCGTTGAGCTTGCGGTAGTCGATGCACAAGCGAAGATCCTTGTTCTTCTTCCGTACGAAGAGAACTGGCGCACCATATGGTGAGCTGCTAGGGCGGATCCAGCCCTTGTCCAAAAGATCGTCGAGTTGAGCGCAGAGAACCTCGAGCTCTTCCTCGCTCATGCGATAGATGCATCCTTTCGGCGGCACGACACCGGCCCCGAGAATGATCTCGTGGGAGATCGACCGATCCGGCACCACACCGGTAGGAGACTCGAAGATGTCGGTGAACTCCTCGAGCAGCCGCACCACTTGGGGGTCCAAAGACAAGTCCGTTGGTGAAGATTCGGTTGTCGAGGCGGCTCGTAGAAAACATAGGCCTATCTCGTCGGTCCTCTCGTAAGCGCAAGTGGCCCGAAAAGACTTGGCCGTTACAACTGGGCACCGGATCGAGGAGTGCGGAAGAGGAATGGTACACGGCACCTCGGCGTCGAAGGCGTCGCGAACGGTAAGTGTCCGCTGATGGAAGTTAACCGTGTGATCCGCACTTGCAAGCCAAGGCATCCCCATAATAATGTCGAAGTCCGTGTCTAAGACGTCAAACGTCACCGGTTCGCATGCATGAGGTGCGAAATAAACCGGCACGGCTTCAATGTAGCGATCGAGGAGTTGTTGTGTCCGACCGTCCGCCAACTTGATCGCTGTCGGGTTTGGCTTCCTTCGAACTTGAGCGCCAAGGCCGGCCCTTTGGATGAAGGACTGGCTGATGAAATTGCGAGTCGCGCCACTATCCAGCAAAGTGTTGCAGGACGCTTGCCCAACTTGGATGCGGACGTAGAGGAGCGGTGCGTTGTTATCATCGTACCGCTGCATGCGAAACTCGCGGGCCACCTTGGTAACATACGCAAGGATGTCCCCCACCGTAGCTTCGTCATCCGTCGGCGAAGATGGTGGTGCATAGAAGGCTAAGTATGTGTGGAGATGGGCGCATAGTGCTGCGCATTGCGGTCCCGACAAGCAGCCTGTGGAAGGGAGAGGAAGCCATGCAAAGTCCTCGGACGTCAACGGGTCCAAGACCTCTATGTTGAACTYGTGCGTCGAATCCCTTGAAGAGCCACTTGAAGACGATCTATTGTTGCTGTTGCCGGACGGAGAAGAAGCCGCACACACATCTTGTCCTTGAGCTTGAGAACCCAGCGAAGGAACGAGCTGGGCAGCATAGTCCTTGTAAGAATACAAGAGAGGACTGTCGACTTCTGCATGTGCCTCGGAATGAAGAGAGGTCGCTCGCGAAGCAACTGATTCCGAAGGCATCGAGAGTGCAGTCGCATCACTCTCGGCGGTGCTCACTTTCCCGAAGGGGATTTGGCTTGGACTGGTGTGGGGCACGTTGCGGTGTCGTGCACCGCGCTGTTGCACCACAAGCAATATCGGTACTTAGAACGGACGCGGTATACGCCTTCCGAGATACCGTAATGTCTCCAAGGCTCTTGAGCCGCTGGTCCGGCCCTGGGGGCTGAAGTGGTGTGTGTCTTCGGTTTGCCGCGTCCTCGCTCTCTGGCGGGGCGGCCACCATCCTGGGCAGCTGCCAATCTGTCTCCTTCCTCAGAAGAGGCAGCCTCGTCTGAAATGTTGGTCGCTGTAGTTGCTGCGACCACGGCCACTTTCGGCCGATGCTGTCCTCTGCCCTGGCCTGCAGCAGACGAATGGCCCAAATTCTTGGCCTCGATGTTCGTCAGGATGATCTGCGAGGCTTTGTCAAAAGCTGCTCACTTGTGGTGAGCTTCTCCGTAACTTACGTCAAGGCGTTCTGCAACGCCGGGCAGCTCCTTCTGATGAAGAAGTGCTTGATAGCGACGAATGTCGACGGCAAGTTAGGCGTGGATGCCAAGCGTTGGTACTCGGTGATCCAGTCCGTGCTTGGCAGGTCATTCTGATAGAACCGTTGAAGTTTCTCGGCTGACTGAAGCTCGGGCGGGCTCCATTTGGAACCGCTTATGCCGTGCTGCCTTGAGATCAGCCCAACTGATCTTCGTATGCAGCTCGGAGACTGCTACGTTGTGCGTGGACAACATGTTGTCCAGCCATGCCTGGCACGCGCCTCCCGAGCGGGAGTATAAGTACGAGTGCCGGTTCAGATTGATGACGTGGTGAATGTCCAACTTCAGCTCAAACTGACGCCACCATGGGATCGGGTCCGTCTTCGTTGCATCGCAGAAGATCGGGAGGCCGTCAAACTTCGGAATGCTCTCGCGATTGGAAGCGGTTGGACTGGCTGCGGCAACGCAAATCTGCTGGTCAATTTGCTGACTTGTCGTTAAAGCGCCGTCCTTGAGAGTCTCGACGTCGATCTCCAAGACGTTGATGCGATCCGCCAAGTTGGAGGGTCCGGCGGGGGTGGCTGTTGCAAGCTGCTGTTCCAGCCAGCGTACCTGGTCAAGCAGTTCGTCAATCACACAAATCTGCTTCCGGACCAGGGTGTCCATGCAGAGGAAGTCCTCTTGCTGTGCTGCACAGGTGGCGACCAAGTCGATCACATGTTCGATTGTGGTTGGAAGGCCACGCACAGCAGAGGGGGAACCCTCCTCTTCAGCAGCCACTGCCCATTCGCTGGCGATCACCTCGATATCCCCCTCGCATCCGAGGAGTTTGTCTCGGCGTAGTCGACGGCGTTCGTCTGCGGCCGTTGCTGCTGCCTCAGCGTCTGCCTGTCGCTGCTGTTCAGCGAGGCGACGCTGTTCCTCTGCTTCCTCATCTTCCTCCTTACGTGCGGATGTTGCCGCAGCGGCCCGTTGCTTGTACTCTGCTACCATGTCCAGCATGCGGGCCTCATAGGCCTCGGTAGTCTCGCCTGGCTGCTGCTCCATGCCGCTTGTCTTTGAGCGGGTGAGCACCATGCACTGACGTGTCCTGCTGCTGTGTGGCCTGCTGACGTGGCTACTTACCAATGCCGCCGCAGGGGGTACCCGGAAGGAGATAGAGAAAAGACCAGAGGGGACAAATCGCCCAGATAAGGAGCCACTAATCAAAAAAAGAAAAGTTTGAACTTCGCAAAAAAAATTCGAGAAAAATAAAAATCCCGAGTTCTGTAAGTTCAGTAGGTCTCCCAACCTCCCTTGAAGTGCGAAAGTATCAATGAGAAAAAAAATTCGAGCTTCAGACTGCCATGGAACTGCGAAAAAAAATTCCGAAAAGAAATACCAAGTATTCGGACCAACTCAGATGAGAGTATTCGCAGTTTGGAAAATGGTACTGCAAGAGGGATTTCCCGTACCGTTTTTAGAAAAACGAATGTCGGAAAAAATATTCCGAATTCCAATAACGGGAAATGCAACAGGGAATCAAAAATTTCAAGAAAAAGATATTCCGGATTTCCAACAACGAAATTTCGGATTTTCAGAAGAAAAACGAAATGGAAATTTCAGATGTTGCGCTATTGCGATTTTCCACAACAGAAATAGCGAGAAAACGAAATCCAAGAAAAGAAAAAAAATTTGATTTTCGGCAGTGAGGTCAAAATCGTGATTTTGGGGGCTAACTAGTATGCTCTAATCAATCTACCAAGACTAATCAGCTACTTAGTCCCCGCTCACGTGTCAGATCAGGTTGTCCTGATTCACGTGCGAAGCTCCGATACCAACTGTTACATGCCCAGTTGGGCGATGTACATAAGAACCGAGGATCCGCAATGTGATGAAAAGGACTGAATGGACAATGCAGTGCAAGTAGAATCTCAACAAGCAATGTGCATTCAAATACATACAAAATGATGCTGAGGAGCGCAGGGAAGACTTAGATACAAATCCTGACCTGACCGGGACTGACCTCATTCACGTAGCACAAGATAGCGAAACAGAATGCCAGAATGCTAATGACTAGCCCAATCAATGTCACARTGCAGACTAAACATACATCATGCTCATCACCAGGTGTGAAGAGGCCTGGCGCTATACACAGGAAGAGGCGCCAGGTCCAGCCATGCACAGACGAAGAGGAGGGGAAGAGGAGGGGAGAGATGGGAAAGTCGTCAACACCAAGTCTCGTTACGAGTCCCAAATAATCCCTCGTCAAAATGTCTGAAGTCCAATGTCAAGTCTGGATCCACATGTCACCAAGCTCTCACTCTCTCTCTCTCATAGTCTGCTGATGCAGTGAAGCCAGATATAGAGAGGGTGAGAGGGAGATGGTGGACTGAGAAGAGGAAGAAGGAGAACTCTCTCTCTCTCTTGTATGCCAGGTACTAACCTGTGAAGATGGCGCTGTGCTGCAGGTACCTCGGAGATGAAGCTGGAGCAACGGCGCTGCAGGTAAGTATTCCTGGCCTCCGCCCAATCTTTCTCTCTCTCTAGTGCTACTCTAGCTATGGCGCCCAGTGCTGAAGACTACTGCTAACACTACAAAGCGCCCAGCGCTAAACTACTACTGCCAGCGCTCCTCCAGAGTGCTGCTGCCGAATCCTGAAGACTACCTGCTGGCTAAAGCCTGAGGGCCTATAGGCGCTTGTTTTCAGGCTGTCAGCAGTGTCAGGCTGAAACGACACGGGGCTTGTAGGCCCTGGTTTTCAGGCTGTCAGGCTGAAACAGACACGGGGCCTGTAGGCCCTGGTTTTCAGGCTGTCAGGCTGAAACAGRCMCGGGGCCTGTAGGCCCTGGTTTTCAGGCTGTCAGGCTGAAACAGCCACGGGGCCTGTAGGCCCTGGTTTTCAGGCTGTCAGGCTGAAACAGCCACGGGGCCTGTAGGCCCTGTTTTTCAGGCTTTCAGCCTGAGGGACGCAGGGCCTGGAAAATGGCCCTCGTGTGCAGGCGCAGCATGTAACACTTCCCTTCTGTTGTACAGGCCCCCTTTCGATATGTGTCTATCACACACACACACACACACACACACACACACATGCCCTAGTTCTCCCAGCGCCACGGGTTGCCTGCCCAGTGTAGCTTAGCCGCGGAAGCAGGGGTGGCGGGAGTAGAGGAGGAGGAGGAGGAGGAGGAGGACCACCAGGAGGAGCAGGAGGGGAGGAGGAGAAGGAAAGTGATTTGAGGAGGGATGGAGATAAGGGAGGTGGGGAGGAAGCAGGAGCAGGAGGTAAGAGAGGGTGGAAGGAAGGATGAGCAGGAGGTAAGAGAGTGGTGGGGGGGGCGGAGAGGGTGGAAGGAAGGATGAGCAGGAGGTAAGAGAGTGGTGGGGGGGGCGGAGGTCTGCAGGAGGAAGTAGAGAATAGTAGGGAGGGTAAGGGAATCAAGACGAAGAGATTGGTACAAGGGGAGGAGCGGATGAGAGAACAAGGAATAGTCATGATGATGATGATGATGATGATGATGATGATGAGGAGGAGGAGGAGCTATGGTGACTTGGAGAGGGGGAGAAAGCGAAGAAAGGAGGTAAAGCATAGGTGAAAAAGCTGAATAAGCAATGGGGAGAAGGAGAAGAGATGCGAAGAGAGGGAGGGGGGATGGCGGTGAAGCGAGGTGTCGAAGGAGGAGGTTAGGGGCTGAATGGTACACATGTTATTGTTAATAAACAGGTTATGGGTTCGAATACCGAACGAAGCAGAAGGTTACCATAAGGTTAGGGGCTATCACCTTTCAGAGAACAAAACAAGAGAAAAAAAGGAGGAAGAAGACAGGAGTAAGTCTGTTTGCGATGGCAAATAGTAGAAAAAGAAGGATAGAAAACGCAGAGGAGAAAAAGCAGGTAGCAGTAGGAAGAAGAAGAAGAAGAAGAAGATGTGAAGAAAAGGAAAAGACCTGAGGATCAAGGAGACACGAGGGGGGGCGGATGGTAAGAGGAAGAAGAAGAGGAGGAGGAGGAAGAGGAGGAAGGGGAGGAGGAGGAGGTGGAGGAAAGGGAGGAGGAGGAGGAAGGGGAGGAGGAGGAGGAGGAGGAGGAGGAGGAGGAAGAGGAGGAAGGGGAGGAGGAGGAGGAGGAAGAAGGCACTGACTGTGTTTGCTAGGATAGAATAGAAGAAAGCAGTATGCAAGAGGGGATGGGAGAAGAGTGGGGAGTCGGAGAGGGGTAGCAGTAGGGAGATAGACAAGCCAATGCAGATGGAGAGACAGGACTCCAGATTTACAGTCCTGCTACAGTAACAGCAGGAATCCACCATTGTCCCCCGAAAAGAACACACGGATTTCCAAACTGTATTACACAGACATGACCCTATTCAGGTCTCTTGTGCCGCCTTGACCTTAGTCCCCCTAGGTCCAGACCGTTGCAGATCACCCCCCCTCTCTTTCTCTATTTTCTGTTCAAACTTCAAAGAGTTTTCGGCTCTCATTTTTACATGCCCTGGAATGCTTCAACCGTTCCCAGTCCCCACAGGCCTTTCAAATTAAGAGAAAAGAGCAGTAAATCCCATCATCCCCCACTCTCCTCCCACCCGCCACCCACTCTCTCCGTGTACCCGGGCACTTGGACATGTATGTGGATAGCGTGCCCAAAATCAGTCTTTTTGTTTTACAAGATTACGCACACTGATGACCTGGATGGTTGATTGATCCATGTGGCAGGGAAGGAGTGCGAGGCCTTCAGGAGGGCTGATTGGTCTGATGAGCGGAGGGGAGCTCATCAAAAGGCTTAGCTCCACTGTTTCGACTTCAAGGAAGGTTGAGCATGCATGCAAAGGAGTGAAGGACTACTAACCGATCCTGCTGTCTTCTGTGTTCAGCAATTGTGACACTGCTCTTGTCTTCTTGGTGAGCAAACAGGCACGGTTCGGCCCACAATCTCTAGACAGACAGGGTTCTGCCCACAGTCTGTGTCTCTGTCTGTCTTTCCGTCCGTCTCTTGCCCATATCCATTCTTGTGCGCATCACCTCTGCTGACCTGGTTGTTTTTGTCACACCTGGCAAGGAAATTCTTGGGGAGAGAAAGGGGGGAACCTTTGACTGCAGGAGGAGAAGGGGAATGGCAGCTTCAACAAGGGCACTTCGCCCCGGATAATGCGGTGTGGATCAGTCAGTTCAATGCAATTTGCATATGTTTTTTCCCCCCAGCGGGAGAGCACGCCACTGGTGTACCAGCAACAGATGGTGCAAATCCAGTTGCCGATGCCCCACAGAGTGTGCAGGTGCCAAGTGGGGTGGAGGAGGAGATGCAAATCCTTGTTCTGCTGGTGAAAGAGTTGTTGCCGGCTGAAGTGTTGGCTAGGAACTAGGGCCGTATGGTGGAACGCGCAAGCGTCAGCTAGACTCTTAGAGCAGGAGGAGGAGGGATATGTGGCTTTCTGGCAGCCTGCTTCGTGTCTGCTGCAAGTGTGAGCTCTTGGTGGGCGACTAGTGAATTCGCGGAAGCACTTGGCTGGTTGGTAAGGAGCGCGCAGCGGTTATATATACATATATAGAAATTGAATATATAGTATTAGAATTGTATTGAATGCAAGAAATGATTCAGGCGTGGTTCACTGGCGGACCTATGCAGGAAGAACGGCCGACATCAGTGTTGGCAGAGTGGAAGGACTATGTGGAAGGGAGAAACCGAAGTGACGGAGGAGGAGGAGCGAGTGGGACATTCGACCTGGAGTCAGGAAGAGATGATGTGCCCCCACTCATCAAGTCGGTGAACGAGACAATTGGCGGTGTTTTCACCAGTGTGACAAAGGGAATGAGAGAGCTCCCTGGAAACATGCAACAAGCCGCGCAGAGCATGCCCTCGAGGAAAGCGGTGATGTACTTTGGTGTGATGATGTCAACGGGCGTCCTCTTCCTCTTCCTCTCGTTTACCATCTTCCTTCCTGTGATGGCCCTTGCTCCACAGAAGTTTGCCGTCTCGTTCACAATTGGCTGCCTGTTTGTGATGGGCTCCTTCTTTGTGCTCAAGGGGCCGAAGCAGCAGCTGCAGCACATGCTGTCCATGGATCGACTCCCGTTCACTGCAGCTTTTGTCGGGAGCATTGTCACCACTGTCTACTCCTCGATGGTTCTTCATAGCTATCCACTCTCTGTCATTTCATCTATTGTTCAGGTGATGGCACTTCTCTACTACGCCATATCCTACTTCCCAGGCGGTGCAGCGGGGATGAGATTCCTTGCATCAGGGCTCAGATCTGCAGTGTTCAAGTGCTTTGGCTGCTGATGCAAATGCTCCCTGTTAACTAACTTCGACTCTTAACAAATTTCAGCTGACACTGGTCACGGATCCGGTCCTGTACCCAAATGGGCCAGGCATGAGAGTAATGGCATGAAATACAAAAAGCACACACTCACATCTGATCCCTTCCCTGCCTGTCCTCATTGTTGTCCTGCCCCTCCCCATGACACCATCCCCCGCCCCTCTGTTCTCTTTCTCCTGCCCTGCTGTCATCCTCCCTCACTATGATTGCTGTTCTCCTCGTCGCCCGCCTTATCAGCCTCGTCACGCTCCTCGTCATCCTTCTCTTCAGCCTGCTCTTCTCCCTCCTGTTATTCCACATCGTTCAACGTTTCCTTGTTTCAGATATAGTTGGGTGCTTTTTGGTTGGCAGGCAGGTTTGGCTGCTGCCCCTTGAGTAAGGTGGGCACGTTGATGTATTGATTCGCAGTCCGCCGCGGCTTTCACAGCCTGTGATCTAGACTGCAGAGAATGGTAGGCAGGCAGGAGGGTGTAGCACCCATGTAAGCTGGCAACAAAGCTCTTTGTATGGGCGGGCATCTACTGTTGTTGTTGTGGTTGCTGTTGTTGATTCACTAGCGATGATGATGATGTGGGCTAGATAATCGCCCTACAAGTCATTGTATTGTATCTATGGTTGGGTGGTGATCGCACTATGCTTGGCGGGTTCATGTGAGTTGGCTGATCGTAGGCTGCTCCAGTTTGCATTTCGATAGTACAGGGTCATTACCAGGTGATTGATTTTAATTCTTCTGTTCAATTCTTCGAATGCTTTTTCTGAGATGGATATAAACCAGACTACCAATTACGTAGTAATAATCCTATCCCATCTTGCTGGCTGTGTGCTTCATGATTTGCCATGGCTAGCAGACCACTTGGTAGGCCATTCTGACATCCACTTCTCTCCTCTCCTTACTCTGCTCCCTTGCTGTTTTTTTTTTGGAAAAAGCAGGGCCTCACGGTCCTGGTTCCGTATCGTCATTCTGCTTCCCATTCCACCGGCAAGTCAGAAAAAAACACATTTTTGACTCACCTATGCTCCTTCCCATTATGGTTGGGAGGCCCGAGTGGACGACATTGATTTCTTGAATTTTCTTCCCGTGGGAAGGATGTACCGCCCTCACCCCTGCCTAAGTTAGCCTTGCCAACATACTTCTATCCTCCTGTTCCCGGGTGCTGGGGCTATGCTGATTTCTTGCTTAAGAATGGAGATCTTCCCTTGCAATCCTGGTCCATCTTCTGGAGGAGTTCAATGCGTGTCTTTTCAATTAGTAAGGTCTCCGCTCCACTGCACAACTATTGCAATGTCTCTGGCCTGTCTGCGATCCACATGCATTCGGACTCACCATACACTTCGAAGTTCGAACACATCGGAACCACAATCAAAGCCAGATTCGTTTCGAGTGTTGTGTGGTGGAGAGCCAGATTCATTTGGAATGTTGTGTGGTGGACCACTAAACATTTCGACCGCATTGGAACCAGCAGCGTTTACGGGGCTGGCACTTTTGTTCAGCAAACCCTTGGCTTGTTCTTGCACTTGGAGCTGACAGTATCTGTTTCCATGTCATTTCTCGCTTCTTGTATGCTGGTCTCCTTTTTGTCAGGGTTGGTGGCCTTGAATTGGGGCCCCAGGGGCTAGGGGGTGCCCAGAAGTGCCAGAGGAATGTTTTTTTTTGGGGGGGGGG